TCAAGATGCACCTTTGCACATTGAGTGTGCATCCTACTAGAGGTCAATGACTTGTTGAACATATTTTATGCCTGAAGGTGCCCATAACTGCTGTATCACTTCCACCACAAAGCCAATTCTAAAAATTTTGGGCAGGAATGAGCCAGCATAGGATGAAGCCAGCCTTTCTTTACAGCAGAAGAAAAACATCTGTTAATATTAGCAAAACTTCAGAAGAAAGACACACTGTATAAACTCTCATTAGGCAAGGAGGCAGAGTATAAAAGACTCAATTGAAGGCCAAGAAATCTGATAAAACCCAATCTTGGTTAAACCGATTACTAGGAAGAAAACAAAACACAACAAACAAATCACTGCATAAACTCCCAACGGGAAATTGTTTGACGTTTTATTTCCAAGAAATTATACCTTGCATTTCACAGCAATTGCAGCTAAATGAAGAGCGATAGCAAACACCGAGGTTTCATGAGTATTTAATGATCTTACCTAATCTCACTTTGACAGTATCTCTTTTTCCTTCCTTCTCTTTCTCTCTCATATACAAGTTGTGCGGCAGTTTTAGAGCATATAAAAGTTTCCAAAATATAAATCAAATCAGAAACCAAGATGTCCTGACTGAGGGTTTCGGCAGGTTCCTTGTATACCAATGTTATTACAACACAGTCAATCCTGTTAACACTTGGACAAAACATGGCCTCCGGGCAATTTAGTCCAAGTTATAGTTCAAGCATGTAAGAGAGTTATACTCTAAATACATAACAAGGCAGAGAGGAAGAGAGAGAGGGAGAAGAAGAAGAAGATGATGATGATGATGACGATTTTAAAAAGCATTTCTCTAAAGTTGCATGCTTTCCTACCCCACAGCCCCATAACAAAAGAAATAGCAAAAGGAAAAGTATCTTGCATTGTTCAGTTAATTTAAAGAAACCCGTGATCAACACAGCTGGACTGAGAGTTGTCTTCTTCCCAGCCTTGAGTTTTGATGCAATCTGTATTATTTCCAACACATCCAGTTGGAAATAGATGTGGAAAAAGAAATCTTGAGATAAAATTATTTTCTCTCTCAGCTTTTGGAAGACAAACTCATGTGAAAATGGTTTCAAAAACTAGCACCCTCCTGAGGATGGGATGCAGATTTAGGGGCTGGCAAATGCAAAGATGCTTTGACCCATCAGGAAGCAACAGAAAAGAGAAACTCTTTTAAGAAATGAAATGGGGAATATTAGCAGATTCCCTAGGGCAGTAAAGACACAAAATGAGAATATTTTCTCCCCCCTAGGTAAAGAAAATCCATTCCTTTCTCCCCGAGTAAGTTTAAACAGAAGAATTATTTTGTTAAGGAGAAAAATACAGCCCCACAAAAGAAAAGGAGAACCATCTCAAGGGTGTTACTGAAATTTTCAGAAGAAGCCTAGTTACAAAATGGCAACATTGAGGGTGCATTTCTCATTTTAATCAATAGGTTGGAAAGTCATCCATACATCCAAAGTCTCCAGAAGACAACCCAAAGTTTTGCTCTCTTTGTTAACATTTCCCAAGAGTTGGAGAATTCAGAGAAAAGGTTGAAAGAAAACTTTAACAAGAAACTTTCTTAAACTTTGGGAAGAAAATGAGCTGCCTAAAGAAAACACATCTCTGGTGGCTGAATTATAGAAGTTGTTTTTTGTGGGTCTTTTTATTTAAAAAAATTTTTTTTGGCATTTCTTATTTTTTAAAGCTTTTTGATCATCTCAAAAGGATGTCGTGGGGGCACCTTTACAATGCAGAGGGGGCAAGGTGGCATAAAGCGGGCATGAAAATGGCCGAATCAAAGGCTTTCAATGCCCTCAAATTTACCCTGGCAACTCCCACCAAGTTTTGGGGGTAGAGATGTGTTGGTTGGTTACCACTTTGTTGGCTAAAATAGGGGTGGAATTTCATTTTTCCTGGGGAACCCTAGTAGACTGACCTCTTTTTCCAGGCCAAATCTCTCAAAACAGCCACAGATCTGGGCCACCTGCTGCATATTTATTGTTAGTGTGTGTAACAGGAAGACAACTTAGAGATAGAAAGACCCTTTCTTTGCAAAAGGAAGGTGAAAAGAAAGGGGTTTTATAGCCCATTGGAAGACTAAGCCATCATTTGAGCATAAACCACCCTGGGGTACCTAGGCCCACTTTTGCACAAGTCTGGAAATGGACTACATCTCAGAGCAAAAGAAACCCACTAGTCTTAACCGAGCCACATTTCTTTTTTCGCCTTCCATTTTCTATCCTGGAACAGATCAATAGGTCATCCTCCCCTTCAAATGAAGGCACTCTGACATGTCTCCCCACACCAACTTTGTCCTCTGTTTTCTGGGGGTATGTGTTTCTCATTGGGAAAAGAGAGCTGGCCACAATTCTTTAGGGGGAGAAGTTTAGACCCATTTCTCAGACCTGACTAAGGGAGGACCACTATTGTTATGAATCACATACACACACATCCCAAAAGGAGGTTTGGGAAGACTTGGCTCTGCTTGGCCTCCTTTGGCAAGGGAGATTAA